TAAGTCATAGTTTCATGGTTTATAGTGTATGACGTGTATGACGGCGTCGCAACTGGTTTGCCCTGTCTCGCTTACTGTGGTCGAGATCGATTTGCATTCTTCTTGATTTATAGTATTATTTATAGTATTAATCTATCAATTTTTGTCCTACACAATCTATTTTTTCTTTGTACATTAATGTAAATAAAATTGTCAGGAATACATGTTTTTCAAGGTCTACATACTCTTTTTAGGAGGTCTACGCCTCTGTCTACCTTCATTACATTTCTTTGTGCTAGGATTTGTAATGTTTTGTATAGTTTCCATCTGGAGTTTAGAGATTTAGGCAATATGCAGAACGACGCTGGTGAGACTGTGGAACTATACGTTCCCCGCAAATGGTGAGTTTTCTGCTTTCTTTAAAAATATGTTATTAGAAAATGACTTTCTTTTTTTCCTTCTAAAACGAAGTTCTGATAATGAAAGTTCTTTCTTTCCAATTTCAGCTCTTCATCTAACCGCCTGATCGGGCCCAAGGATCATTCTTCAATTCAACTCGACATTGTTGATGTGGATCCAATCACTGGACGCATGGTTAGCTTCCTTGTTCCTTTTCCATTCATTTTCCTTGTTCTCTGGTTTTTGCTGTAGCACTTATCCAATGGGTTTTTAGATCGCTGGCAAATCTACTCGTTACGCCATCTGCGGTGCTCTCCGTCGCCAAGGAGAATCTGATGATGCGCTTTTGAGGCTGGCTCAGAGAGACGGGATTATCCCCAAAAATCTTTGATCTGTTGTTATGAATCTTTGGTAAATTTGTTGTGTTTGATTTTGATTTGCGAACACTACATTACACAAGAAAAAGTTACGTTAAAAGAAACTTGCCAAGTTTGACTGGGTACTAAATGTCGGTTTCTTGTTTGATCAAACGTCTAAATTGCTGTTTTATTTTTTGTTTCACTTTAGCTTGCTAGGGAATCTATGATAGAATTCTTTATCACATCATATAGAATCCTGGCGAGGTCAAGTCATGATCATATCAATGATATGTACAGCTAATTGGCGTATAGT